GAGTACAAGTACGGTTGAGCTTCTGTTTATATTTGCTGATCAATGTAAATATGTGAATAAAAGCCTAAATTAAACCATTTATCATAAAAAGCAATAGAATCTCTTCAGAAAATTTGGACTCGGCCGCTTAATTTACATGAATTAGTTTTACAATCTCTTTATGAACTTTTTGAAGCTTTTTGAAGACTCTCAATGGGACAGCAATCTCTTAGATTTCATTAAAAATACCTTCATTTGTGTTTTGAAAACGAACAAAAGTCTTATGGGTTTAGAGGTCTAAAGGGTGAGTAAATTACAGAATTTTCATTTTTGGATGAATTATCCCTTTAAGGAGGATGGCCAGAAAAAATGACATGGTGATGAGTCAAAAAAAATTGGTAGATGTGCTTGAAGACAACCACTGGACCTCTCATCTGTCATAATGAAGAAATGGAAGGGGGCTCATGGTGAAGATGAGATATGTAAGCGCTCTGAGGAAAGGCGTTGAGCCACTGGAAGCCCCTCAAAGTCTCAGCTCTTGTTTGTGGTTGTCAAGGCTACCTAAACCCTTGTATTTCTCATCTAATTTCATGGTTGCCGTGGAGAGCAAGTCTGCCTGGCTCACCCTTGACAACGGCTAATCCCTGAAAGTTCAGGTGGCCCTCCTTACCAAGACGACGGCATACCGGAGTCATCATGAAAAAGGCAGCATCCTCAACACTGATAATTAAAAATAAGAACATTTATTAGCATCACTGACCAATGCCATTTGTGACCTTTGATTTGTGATGCTCATGACAATATTGCAGTTATAGTTCATTTCAAGTAGTTGTTCAGTAGTATTTTCAGACACTTTGTATAAAGGTTTTTTTTTTTTTGGAAACTTTGATCAATTTAATGCATCCTTGCTGAATAAAAGTAAAAAAAAATTTTTTTTTTTAAAAGTACTCACTACAAACGTTTGAACAGTAGAGTAAGATTAGTTTTGGCTTGTCATTCCTCCTGGCCTTGTTTGCTTTATGTCTGAAGCAGCTCTTTGAGACCAGTAAATCACACATAAAGCGAGCCAGTCATGTTTTCCACAGGCTTTTGCATGAACTGTGGTCAGGTGCAATGGCGTTGTTGTAATCCGAGGAAAGAGAAAGGATGCTAACGAGCGTCACACATCTGCTAACACTTAGCAAGATTTTGAACTCTGCCACATCAGTGCAATAACCAACAGGCTCAAACACTGGACTCTCCATCTATCTATAAAGGCCTACTGCTGTGAGATGAAAGACCTGGGAGAGCATAGCCAAAACAGAAGACATGCAAGTCTGCAAGGAGAAATAAAAGCATCAACTATCATGTGCCTTTGCTTGAACATTTATAAAGAGAGTGGATTTAGGTTGGCTGCAACAATCATGAAAATTACAAGAGCACTGAGCTTCATTTGCAGAGTTTAATTGCAGTCAATTTATTTCCCATATACTTTGCTACATATAATGTCTGATTTTCTGTTTAACCTTCATGATTATTAAGCTGCTGTCAGGGCAGATTAATTGTGTGTAATTCAGGGCTATTTTTTTGCTCCTCAGGCACTAGCGGTCCCAATTCACGTGGTGCTGTGGGTCAGATCAGGCATGAGCTAAGCAGGGGGTACATTTGATTTTGTTATATAACTAACTTGACCTGAACTGGTTTCAAGCAGAGACACCATTCATTAGCAGACTACTCATTTCTATTGTGTAGACGGTTCGCTGCTGAAGTGAGAGGATGCGAAGAAGAACAACACAGAAAGCTGCTTGGAAAAAGTTAGGCCAGTTCATTTTCAATGCTGTGAAACTGCCACGGATGAATAATAAAAAAGTGTGCGTCTGAAGGATAACAGAAAGCACTGCCACCCTAGGCTGGTGTAAATCTTAGCAACTCAATTTCTGACAAAAACGTTGAGGATCAAGACCATTTTTTATTCTATAAACACGCAAACAACACCTCATAATGATAATTTTAACAAGACAAAAAATATATTTTAGATACTGACAAAGGAACTAACAGTTTTTAAGAAATTTTTTTTACAAATTAATCAACAATGCTGAAAGTAGGTTAATTAGTTTACTCATATTATACATATTTACAGTTATGGATTTAACAGATGCTTTTTCCCCAAACTGACTTACAATAGAGGAACATGAAATTTGCCTGTGTCTACAATTATAAACATACAGACTTTTCTTAAATATATTCTTCCATTTTATTCATTTTTTATTTATATTTTTAGATATATGTATGTATGTTTGTGAAGCAACATAGCAATGCATACACATGCACACACACACACATACATACATACACATATATACATGTGTGTGTGTGTGTGTATATATATATACCGTATATAATGCAATTGCAAAAATGTAAACAATCTCTAACAGAAAAAAAATTAAAACCTCAAACTAATTCACACTCTACTTTTACAAAATAGGTACTGATTTGATATAATTGCATGCTTTTATTTCAGGAGCCTAGGTTTTCACAAGAATGCTGTGTTTTGTCTTTGTTGGTCTATGTTCTCAGCTCATATTTGTAACTCTTGAATGTTTGGTTGTGGCCTGCTGTGGTCCTTCTGTTCACATGGCACCACCTTGTGGATAAAATCTCATTAAGCCTCTTAAGGAGAAGAAAACAAAAAGCCACTTATAAAAATGTAGCAAAACACTATTAAAGCTTTAAGCGAATGAGAGTAGCCTGACCTATAAGTAGCATACTGGCTCAAAGAGGCAGAGTAGTCCAAAACTTTCCTGCAGATTAAAAGAAATTGCAACTGGTAATGAAGCAGAAAGAATTTATTATCAACTATAGATAGGAAAATACATTAGTGTAAGGAACCTCTATGTACAGATCTCTAGAACTAAGAATACAGAAAACAGAGAGAAAATAGTTGTTTACCATTCTTTTCCAGAGATTTTTTAAAGAGCTGCCTTTTTCAGATTTTATTAGAGATTGAACATTCATTGAATATCGTGAAAACTTTTTCTTTTTTATTATGGATGTGTATCTCTGCTGGCTTTATCTTGAATGGTAAACAAGAGTTGATCCCATGTACTACCTGATGGCTCATGATGGTATGTACAGTGTTAGTCACAGAGAAACGACTACAAAATGACATTGGCCTCTACGAAACATAAGTGTTCTGAGGTAAAAAATAAAAATGGTGCAGCTAATCTATCAATTTTATTGCAGAAGGTTTCAGTATTACAAAGGCTGCAAACTTTTGTTATAATATAAAGAGTAAAGCAGAAATAAAGCAAGAGGTAATGAAAAAAAATGGAAGGACAGGAAAGAAAGACTTGATCCATTAGTTGCACAGTTTCTCATTAATTTAAGTATAGATGTTGGAGGTGTACTACAAAAATTAAGATGTTTATTTTCCATTTAATGTCTTTGTCTGGGAAGGATGAATTTGAAACACAAAGGTCTCTGAATTTAGTTTCCATTACCAATATTACTTTCTAGCACTTTTAAGCAGCGATCGTCAAGTACAACCACTTATCACTGATTGCACCGATATCAAGTCAAATACTTTACCATACAGTTTAATTTAAGCGAGACACCATCTCCGACAACACCTGGTGTCAAACAGCTCTCCATCACGACATTAAATTTCACAAAAATAGTCTACTAACAAGCAGGACGATCTACAGATTTAACATTATCGGTCTGTGGGCACCAACTTCGCATCTTTCTACCATTTAGTCAGAGAAGCAAATATGTTATAGGACCAATAATCAATGTTAATAATTGTGAAACAGCTCATTAAACAAAAATAGACACCAACAATGTAGGATAATTCATTATATACACATACACAACACAATTCATTTGTTTTGCAGAAAGGAAATATGCAATACACATTTTATTCACACTTTACAAAACACTAATCTCATTTTTACTATAATAACATTAACAATTCATGGTCACTTAAGACAAAACAAAATGCTGAAGAATATTGTGAAGAGGCCCCGAATAACAAAAGACTGCTCTGGTTCTTACTGCTAAAACAAAGCAAGACGTAAAAGCCATACTGCTGCATAGTTCAGAGAAACTGATTAGTGACATGTTGAATGTGTGATGGTCATGCTGACATCAGTTTAGTGAACCAAAATACATGAACTACAAATAGACCACTGCCAGACATCATTTGCAAATCATAGAGATGATAATTTGGTCCAAAGGCTCCGAACTAAAGATTTTGGAGATGGTTTCAAAAATAAAAATCCCACATGGAAGTACCATATGAGGAAAATGTAACTCTTGCAATTGGCTTCAGAAGAACACATCAAACTGGCACTACACAGGAAAGTTTATGGCCATTTAATATGAATATGAAATTTTAAGTGTATCAGACTTTAAAATGTTTGGTCCTGTGTTGCAAAAATTATAAATGTTCAGAAATTTGGAATTAAATGCGGATAACTAGATCAAAACATTCTTAGTACCTGATTTCTAAATACTCTTCGACCTCAGAAAAATGAAGATACATTGATAGCATAACGCAATCTAAAAAGAAACTACTTAATATCCTTTTTTGTTTTTTTAGACCAGTGGTTGGGAAGTTGCTCACCGAAGAGTGTGCAAGACAGATACACAGTTGCACGATATCTAGGAATGGCAGAAGTGTTACTGACTTGACTTCACATAGACAGATAGCATGTTACGGAGCTTCGCGATTCCCCTCCCTTTATGTATACGACAGCGAGACACGCTGAAATAATAGCTTGAGATGAACGATTAGAAGGACAAGAAAAGCATGTACTCTGAAATTTACAAAAGAAAATAAATTACTATAGTAAAAAAAGAGTGCAAAATGAGCAATGAGTGCAAAATTATGGCAGTGAGAACCAGAAACAACCTCTTTGTCTTTTACACAAGCTGGTATGTTTTGATTAATTTTGATAAAAATGTACAATACAATCTTAATTTTCTGAATTTGGATCATAATTTATTCTTAGTACCAAAAAAAAAAAACCTTTAAAAAAAAAAAAAAGCATTCTTGCACGTGGCTCATATACAATCAGGTCAAGCTTAAATCTGTCCATTTATATATATTCGATAAAATTTTGAACAAAGACCTGGGAGGACCTTTCTGATACAATATAGAAGGTGGTTAAGGCTAGGTCAGAACATTACTAGCCTTAAGAACAGTGCTACAGATCTTTCCAGGATGTGTGTACTGAAAGGATGAAAAGGTATGGGAAATCCTTTTCAACCCAATACAGTGAGAAATCGCTGGTTAAAAGACTCCCTGGTTAGTCTTCTTATATAAAACCTCCCTTTCTAATAAAAACCTCCTGTTTATAACCACAGTGAGATCAAGCACAGTTTAAATTATTCACATAGCCTGTCGTACAACGAAACAAAGAGAGCATGCCTCCATTGAACGGGTTAAAACAAAAGTGTGCAAAAAGCAGTGCCGCTGAATCGAAACATCTAAAATAAATTGGTTTACATTTAGCACGATTAAGCTCACACCTCTCCAACTCCCACCAGAGGGAGAAAGACAAATAAGTGCTTTTTTATGTTGTCTAAGCTTGTTAAAAAACATTCCGTAACAGTGCCCTCGCTTAGAACGTCTAAAATGTTCTGAATATTGCACCATTGATGGGAGAATAAAAACATCAGGAGATGAGGCACCGAAGCACCGATGTAAAGCGAGTTTCAGCACCGCACTAGAGTTTGGTCTGTAAAACACATTGGTCACTCGTCCAAAGGCGAGTTACGCAAGTGTGTATGAACTGAAATTCAACTGCAAGTCCAAGTGGAAAATTAACTTTAAAGAACATGTTTAAATTGAGGCTGAATTCATAAAGGAAAAAAAGATTAATGCTTATTTGCAGGATCAGAATTGCAATAATGGCTGTTTGTTAGTATTAAGGTCTGACCATAAAAGGAATTCAAATTGTCTACAATTCCTTTGAGTGTGTGACCAAGTGAGTTACCCTCCTCTTACAGTTTGGACACATTTCATGCACACAAGCTATGCCCAACAATTAAAAGTATGATAATGTATCAGCCTATGGGAGGAAATGATTCAACAAAATAAAAAAGATCTACAGCTTAACAGATAGAAGAAAAAAAACTCCCTGACAAATAGAAACATGTTGGACCCTAAAAATTAATAAAGATAGTAGAGAGAGAGAAAAAACACGAATATTTTATATATATATATACATATACATATATATATATAGCTTAGAGGTTTTATCGTTTTTTTACTTATAAGAACTGTGACTCTGCAGCGCTACCAGTGGCCAAAAGGGCTCACTACCTGTGTCCAGCTAAGTGGACTCCATTGAGAACGGGAGGATAATGCAGGACCAACTCCAGTTGTGCAAGCAGGGAGAAGTGATCTGAGGGGATGTGAGGGTGTGGGCAACCACTGATATTGTTCTCCAGGAGCCAGTTTGTGTCCAAAGACCCGAGGACGCCCAGCACGTTCAGTTGTGGTCTGGAGTAGAAGATGTAGTCAATGACACCCTAAAATGGGTTTAAAAAAAGGGAGTTGTGAGCATGCATCGTTGAATCACAATAAACAATTCATTCTTTCTGCCGTTCTTCTGTCATGTTACGGTACACGGCAGAGCAAGCAACAGCACAATGTGACATGTTTGCAATGTCAAGTACTTTTTCGGTCATAACTAAAAAGTGCAATACTGGACCAAGAGATTGAGACACAAAAATAGGTACTATTGATCATGTAGAAATAATAACTAGATTTTATTGTAAATTGTATTGGTACCAAAGTATTTGACATGGCTAGTCGTAAACTCTAAACAATGGCGGTCACTTTGAGCTCAATGTACTTACCTTGAAGTCAAAAGTGTAATTGGTGTAAGGCATAAGCACGTTCTCATAGACACTCTTCAGCTTGAAACCATGCGTGATCCTCCCGTTAGATGTGCCGTTTTTGCCGTTGCAGTTGAAGTTGGTCAGACTGTCACTGTAGCGCAGCTCCTTGAAGTCTTTGTGTGTGTAGTCCACCCCACCTGTGCTCAGGTACTCCACAACACCTACGATCAGATTTGAAACTCATTAAACATGTCTGACCAACATGCCTGTATGTACAGCAATTGAGACAATACTACTTAAAAGATAGTACAAAGACGACATGATATTAAAAAAATCAACCTGATTTACTTTAATAAATGTAATTGGCCTTATTTTGTTTCATCAGTGCTTGATCAAAAAATTTAAAAAAGTTTTAATTCTTCCAAAAATCCTCTTTCTCAAAACTAATTTTTTTCCATTAAAATTTTATAGGATTCCATTTTAATTATTAAATTAAAGGTTTAGTAAATCAAAAAATGTGTCTAATTAATTTATAGGGGTCATATGATGCTGCTAAAAAGAACATTATTTTGTGTATTTGGTGTAATGAAATGTGTTTATGTGGTTTAAAGTTCAAAAAACACATTATTTTTCACATACTGTACATTATTGTTTCTCCTCTATGCCCCACCTTTTTGAAACGCGTCGATTTTTACAAAGCTCATCGGTCTGAAAAAGTGAGGTGTGCTGTGATTGGCCAGCTATCCAATGTGTTGTGATTGGCCGAATACCTCAAGCATGAGACGGAAATGTTACGCCCCTCACATACTGTTGATGCCGTGTCCGGCCGGAGCGACGAGACAAAACATTAAAACCCATTACAAACGAGGCATTTGTTATGAAGCTTACACAATTTAACCAAAATGTAAAAAATCAATAAAAAATCAATAAAATAAAAATCAGTTGTTTTTTTTGTGTTTTTTTGGTCTGCATACCTAATCAATTGAATTCATAAAACTTCAACAATTTAATAACTTAAATTCGATTAACTGTACAGCCCTAATTTTAATCAAAATTTTGCCAAATTCTGTGACAATCAGAATTATACTGTAAATTCCATTTTTATGACTGGATTCCACTGCTGAGGTAACCAAGAGCATTTCACAATGAGCAAGAAAGTAGTTATTCCTGTTAAACTCACAACAAAAAACACCTCTATCAACACAAAATAGAAAACAAGACACTTTGCATGTCTTTGGCTTTAAGAAGGTTTACCCGAGTCAGGAAGTGAGTTGAGGTCGGCACAAAGCACCAAAGGGATGCTGCTGGTTTCTCCAGATACGGAGGAGAGCTTCAGACTACGGGAGGCTTTGTCTATGATATTCTTCACCTCTGACAGGAACATCATGGTCTGCACCAGCTTCACGTCAGAATATTCTGGGTCCCAATGCATGTGAGCATTTGCCACAAGAAAGAGCTGTTTCTCCATAGCATGGATAGACTTACCTGCTGTAGAAAAATAGAAAAAAAAAGTTTTATAAAGTCATTGTTTTCAATTAAAATCTGACTGGATGAGCATAATGTAGCCTTCACTTAGGGTAGCGAAATATATTATAAATTACATATATTACAATAAATTACACAGCTGTTTGTAAATGGTGTGGAAAATAGGAAATTACATTTGCATGTTTTGTCATTTTTGCAGCATTATATTTGTGATACACACACATTACTGAAATGCAGAATGTTTTTTTTATATTTTGCAATTCAAATTATCAGTGGAGATTTCATTAGAATTACATTGCAATACAGTAAACTTCACTGAATAAATACAGTACTATGTTTTTAGTAAGTACATTTTATTTATAGAGCTCATTTAAATTCAGCTTACACTGACCAAAGTGCTATATGCATCTATAAGTTAATAATCAGGAAAGGCTATAGAGTAAAGATGTGTCTTCAGTCTAGATTTAAAGACAGAAATAGAAGGAGCACTCTTGATGTCAGGTGGCAACTGATTCCATAACCATGGAGCAGCGACTGCAAAGGCTCTGTCACCTTTAAATTTAAGCTGTGACCGTGGGACATATAAAAGAGCTTTATTGACAGATCTGAGGGACTTAGATAAATAATAAGAAGAAGAAAAATAACAACAATAATAATAATAATAATTAGAAAAATAATAATAATAATAAGATCAGAGGTGTAAGATGGGGCTTGTCCATTAAGAGCTTTAAAAACAATCAACAAAATTTTGAACTGAATTCCAAAAAAGACAGGAAATCAGTGAAGAGAAGCTAAAATTGGAGTGATATGATCACGTTTTTTTTTGTACTAGTTAGCAGTCTGACCGCTGCATTCTGAACCATCTGCAAACGTGCCAGTGACGATTGGGGAAGACCAAGGTATAAAGAATTACAACAGTCGTGATGTGATAAATGCATGAATTACTTTTTCCAAGTCTTGAAAGGAAAGTGTCGATTTAAGTCTGGAAATGATTCTCAATTGATAGTAGCTGTTTATTATTATTTCAATATTTGTTTATTATTATTATTATTTGCCATCCAGCATTTAATATCCTCAAGACAGTCCATGAGAGGCTGCATAGAATGTCTAGATTTTAATGGAATGTACAGCTGAGAATTATCAGCATAGAAATGAAAATACATTTTATATTTCCTAATTATATTACCAAGCAGAAGCATGTACAGATTAAAGAGTAATGGCCCCAAAATGGACCCTTGAGGAACCCCACAGGAAAGAGAAACAGATGATGAGAAAAACTGGCCAATAGCCACTGAGAATGTCCTGGATTTAAGGTATGACTCAAACCACCGTATCCTTAATGCCTACCCAATGTTAAAGGCGTGGCAAAAGTATACTGTGATCTACCGTGTTAAAAGCGGCACTCAGATCCAGTAAAATCTAAACTGCATTTTCATCAGAATCAACTGCAAGTACATTTTTGAAAAAATGTCTCTTATGCTCACCACGACCACTTACTAAAACAGTAATATTGGAAACATTACAATTATTTTTATGTCATTTATTCCTGTGATGGCAAAGCTGAATTTCAGCAATGTCACATGATTATTCAGAAATCATTCTAATATGCTGATTTGGTTGAAAACAGTTGTGCTGTTCAATATTTTTGTGGAAAGCAGAATTTTTTTTATAAAAAATCCCAAAAAATAATCTTTAATGTCACTGTTTTTTATCAGTTTAATGTGTCCTTGCTAAATAAATAAATATTAATTTATTTAATTTAATACAAACACTAGTGTACACTATTGTATAATCTTTTTATAGTACACATTAATGGCAATGTTTTAAAATTCCATTAATATAAGATTTTTGCATTATGCTAAAACGAACAAGGGCAGGAGTGTGCTTAAATGTCATGAAAATAATGTCACAGTGGGAAAAAAAATCAGAATTGTGCGGATACTCACGTGACAACTCTATTAACTCCTTCTTTAGCTCCAGCAGCACAGCCACTCCAATGTTGTCTTTGGTCATGACACGATTCAGCATAGCCTCTGAGCCCTCTGAATTGGCCATAGCCAGCTGGTTAAACTCTACTGTGTGTTTCTGCACCATGCTGAACCTAACAGCAAAGAAGAAAAAATTTTGAAAAAAAAAAATCCCAAAAAAGAATCTTTAATGTCACTTTTTTTATCAGTTTAATGTGTCCTTGCTAAATAAATAAATATTAATTTATTTAATTTAATACAAACACTAGTGTACACTATTGTATAATCTTTTTATAGTACAAATTAATGGCAATGTTTTAAAATTCCATTAATATAAGATTTTTGCATTATGCTAAAACGAACAAGGGCAGGAGTGTGCTTAAATGTCATGAAAATAATGTCACAGTGGGAAAAAAAATCTGAATTGTGCGGATACTCACGTGACAACTCTATTAACTCCTTCTTTAGCTCCAGCAGCACAGCCACTCCAATGTTGTCTTTGGTCATGACACGATTCAGCATAGCCTCTGAGCCCTCTGAATTGGCCATAGCCAGCTGGTTAAACTCTACTGTGTGTTTCTGCACCATGCTGAACCTAACAGCAAAGAAGAAAAAATCCGGTTCCATGTGTTCATTCAAAACAACACTGAAACAAACCTCTAAGACAGAGTCTGATACGACACTTCTCAACCCCTGAGTGTTACTTTACTCACTTTTCAGTCTTGTAGAATATTGCACATCCATCTACATGTTTCCTGTCCGATTCAGACATGGTTCTGGCCCGGGATTTTGGGCTAAAGAATCCATCATATCCCTGTTTACTCAGCTCCACAATGAAGTATTTGTAATACTGCTCTGTCTCCACTTCCTGGGTATGACACAGCAGACTAAGTGACTCTGACAAAGTGCTGTAGGGGTATACATGCATTGACTATTCAGAGCTACCTGTTGTGAATTACTGAACTAAAAGAATGACCTTTAAAGAAACAAAACACAAAGAGAGAACTTAATCTATCAGGACAGGTATACTCAAATACACCAGAAGGTTACCAGTGGCTTATTATGTAAAACAAACATTATGTAAAACAAACATAAGTATTTAAAAAATATATATAAAATTGCATTAAATGCATTTCAGTTATGATGCATTCTGAAGAGCTTTTAAGACTGACTAGCATTTTTGGCTGGTCTGAGACATTGTAATTTTACTACACATTTTGCTGTAAAACTAAATAAGAGCAACTACAAGCTACGTAATTTTAGTACAGCTGCATTAGAAATTTAGGATTACATAAATAATTTTTACCTGTAAGCTGATAATATCTGCATTGCAGCTGAGGATCTCCTGCATTATGGACTTCTTCCTGTAGCTCCAGTTAAGGGCCCAGGATGGGCAGTAGCCATAGAGCTGGCGTGTGGCGTACTTATCACACAGCACATTGTAGCACATTACAGTTAACAGGGCTGATGAAGCAAAGAGGAGAAAGAAGGATCAGGCAAAGAGTCCTTCGATTTTGAATGATGTTCCACTATTTAAAAAAAAAAAAAAAAAAACCTTCTACCGGTTGGTCTTGTCCTTTCAGGCTCCTGCAGCACAATCCAGGACCTGGACGGAGGTGGCTCTGTTGGGACTGAGAAGGCAAAGCATATTTATTTCAGGATAATAATTTGAATCAGCTGTGCAATTTTAAGTAATATTTTCTAATAAAACATTTTTTAAAAAGCCACACTGACACTGATTTAGCTGAATTTAGAATCGATTGTGAATCTAAACAGACTTAAAACAAATTAGCACTACACAAAACTAAAACATCTTAAAAGAAGAAAAAAAGTCACCCAGATTAACTGATTCTCAGAAACAAAATAAAATTATTTGACTTATTAAACCATTATACATCATGCATAAACTACAATTCAAATGTTTTTTTTTACTATTATTAAATGTAATACTATTTTCCAGCAAAGAGACATTAAATTGATCAAAAGTGACAGTAATTACATTTATAACATTTATAATGTTATTACAAAAAAATTATTTCACATAAACGTTCTTTTGAACTTTCTAGTCATGACAGAATCCTGTTTTCAACATGGATAACAATAATAATAAATGTTTCTCGACCACCAAATCAGCATATTAGAATGATTTCTGAAGGATCACGTGACACTGAAGACTGAAGTAATGGCTGAAAATTCAGCTTTGCATCACAGGAATAATTTACAATTTAAAAAATATATATAAAAATACTGTTGTTTTAAATTGCAATAATAGTTCAAAATATTAATGTTTTTACTTTTATCTATAAATAATAACAATAAATGCAAATAAATGCAGCCTTGATGAGCACAAGATACACATTTCAAAAACTTGAAAAAAATGCAACGAGAGAGCAAGCGCAAATCCTGGCAGCGGCAGGTCGCAGCGCCACTTCCGGTGGCATCCTCAGATTGGATTTCCTCTGGCAGCTGCCACGGCCATTTCTGCTGTTTGCTCGGTAAAAACTACACTGTTCTCAGTGGCGAGCGATGGTGTTTTTAAATAACAAGTTCCCACAGGTGTGTTATTTATTATTATTGTTATTATTATTATTATTAATTATACATTTGTATGTATCAGCTGCCAGAGTTCGTGCCAGGAGTCACAATCGTTTGTCACCGTTTCTGCTGTAAACTACACTTTTTTTTTTTTATAAAATATTTGATGACGCATATTATATACCAGCAAGCAGATGCGACCAGAATATGAACCCAATAAACTAAATTGCATAAGCATTTTCTCATAAAGAACATACACATAAGGAGGGCTTAGCTGTATAGAAAGAATATTCACATGTCTGTGTGTATGTATATATATATATATATATATATATATATATTTATAGTTTTACAACCCTTCGTTTTGTATTTTCTCGTTTCTGTCTCTCTTTTGTTTTGAAAGTGTTTGTGTCCAGGTATGATGCTGATTGGCTCCTGCAGGCTAATGATTGGCCCATCTGGATTGGTGCATTCAAAACTAGGCACACCTTAAAAGCCCTGATGTCACTTCCTTTCTCCAGAGCAGAGCAGAGTAGAGGAGAGGGGGAGAGAGAGAGAGTTGCTGGGTTTTGGCTGTGTGTGTTCTCTTAGTTGAACTTTGATTGTTTAGAGTGTGGATTGTTTGATCTTTGAAATAGATACAAATTTTTTTTTAAGTGCTAGGAATTGTTTGGTTTTTGACCCCATTGCTTGTTATGACGTCGATTTGGATTCTCGTTTTAACTCTGTTTGCCTGATCTTGTAAATAGTTGTATATCATTGTAAATACAGAGGGTTGGGAGAAAGTAAGGAGTTTGATGCCATTTTGTTTATTGTAACCTTTTTGATCTCTGTTTTTGGTTAGGGAGTTAGGTTAGTGTATTTTGTACTTTTTATTTTGGTTAGGGTTTAGGAAAGAGGTCCTAAAATAAGGAAGTTCTGTTTATTATTTTGGCCTGGTCAACTCCTGAAGGAAATTCTTAGGATTGTATTGAAGGAAATTGTATTGTTTTTTTTTTTGTTTGGTTTCATTAAAAGCCCTCAAAAGAATCCCCGCTTCCTCTCTCTCTTTTCATGTTGCGTCCTTTACCCCTAGACGGGGCGTAACTCTCTCTCTCTCTATATATATATATATATATATATAGGGGAGTAGCCATCATTTCAGAAGTGAGGGGGGACAGAAATTGTATTATTATATATATATATATATATATATACACACACTGCCTTGTATATACATTATACATACAGTATATACCTCTTATTACTTTCTTTTAATTGCCTAAGAAATCAGATACACTGTTGGACAATAACCAATAAATGATTTGATAATGTACTACAAACTTTTTTTTTTTTCATTTTTATCACATAATAAGGCAGAATAGTTTCTGTAGCCTACTGTAATAAATGTTATGTCAATTAGCACTGAATTGTTCATATACTTTATTTATTACCTGGAGATGATTTTAAAAAGCACAAATAAACCATATATTGTCGCAATCGTGTGTTTAATGTCTTCACGTTTCCAAAGGTTTTTGCCTTTTATTCAGATTATACAGTGATAGCTGGACGCTTTTGTCTATATTAGGGATTTCCTGGTACGTTGTAAGTTATTACTTCTATATGAGTCCGTCTTGCACTTTTTGCGTGAGAGCGCACTCTGGCTTCGAGTATGAATGAAACACACACTGAATGAGAGTATCGAGCGCTCCGTGATGTTCATCTCACCTCATTCTGGGTACTAATAAAACATTAGGTCATGCACAGACTATCTTGTCTCTCTGAATTTAAATCTATATTCTTTCACAGGCCCTTTAAAACCTCTATAACACACTTGCCCGAAAAAAGTGTCAAATGACACAGTCCTTGGGAAATTTCACATGAAATCACCAAAAAAAAATCTTCGTCAACATACTGTGAATACTTGATAGATCGCGCAGCACTAACAGTGAATATTATTAACCTTGGACAACAGTCCATAACACTATAGCAAAAAACATTTAAAAAATTATACATATCCTAAACAGTTAATTAGCCTGTGACACCTACTGCGCTTGATAGCACCAGCAAGATTGTCCAAAAGGTAGTTCAGCAGTCGCCGGGTACCATCTGGCTCCTGGTAGAGAGTCATAATTTCTTGAGTGAGTGGATTGCCTGCAGAGACACATACAAACAATCAGTAGGAAACATTCTCTACACAGTGAGAATGTCAATCACCAGAACAATGACCACTCACCTTTCAACCCCAGTGTTTGTAACTGAAACAATTTCCCCAATTCGAATGGCAGAACCCGCAACTGGTTGTTATTTAAAAGTAGTTCCCTGTGGAAACCATGAAACAAAAGTAAAAACTAACAATATACCAGCGGTGTGCTTTAAATAAATAAATAAAACTTTTCAGTAAAATCTTGACCAATGTATTATCACAATTTTCATGTCATTTGTGATGACTGAATAAGGACTTTTTTAAAATCATTGTTAACATTTACAATAATGTTCACATTTGTCAACATTACTGAATTAGCTAACATGAACTAATAAACACCTATTTTTACCCAAATGTTCACGCAAAGAAAGAAGGTGTAACTTTATTGTTGCTGCCACCGCTGCCACCATGTTGTGAAGATGCTGTGTGTTGCGCTGCGAAAGCGAAACTACTTTGTTTGGTCTTCTAAAAGAGGACATGACTAGAAATCAGTGGTTAAGTTGTATTTACAACACTGTTCCAGAACAGTTCAAACCAAATATTCAGATGTGTGCAGCGCATTTTATGGAGGACTGTTTCCTGATCCTGGGAGAGTAGACTACAATGCCGGCTGTTCTGACTCACAGTCTTTAAGTACATATTCATATTTAAAGAATTTGCCACTGATGATTCAAACGCGAGTTTGTTGCTTTTGTCGCTTGTTGTTTGTCATTTCTCCAATCACAAATGCAGACATGGTTTTATGTTTATGCGGTGCGATGCAACAACACGTAAAAAGACAGCATAAGTCATTATAATCCGTATTTATGTCCCCACTGGATGCAACAAATGCCTCGTTTATAATTGGTTTTGTCTCATCGCGCCGGGACATGGCATCACAGTATGGTAAGGGACGTAACATTTCCATCACATGCTTGAGGTATTCAGCCAATCACAATGCACTGGATAGCTGGCCAATCAGAGCACACCTCACTTTTCAGACCGATGAGCTTTGTAAAACTCTACACGTTTCAGAAATGCGGGGCATAGAGGAGAAACAATAATGTACAGCAGGGTTCCTCAATAGGCGGCCCACGGGCCACATCCGGCCCGTGAGAGAAAAAAGTTTGGCCCGCGCTAATTTCAAATAATGTGACATGAAAATTCAAACGCAGCATCAGAAAGCTACATTAACTTACATCGTGTCTACACCGGACACGAGTGGCGCAACTATAAAATACAAGAACTCGTTATAATCAGTGATGCTGTCTTGGATACGGCACAACACGAGAAATCCCCGACAGTAAACTACTGACTCGTTCGATTTATAACGTACTGACACAACGTTCAAATGATTTGCAATGCTTTGTCGCGTCCAGTGTAGACAAGATGTGACAGCAAAAACATGGTGAGTGTGTAGAAAAGAAAAGTGAACACGGAAAATATATGATTCAAATGTGAATGGACTGAACAGTTTTGAGTGAGTGAGCGAGTGACTGATATCTTTGTTATGGAATACACGTGGTTCGCAGTGAGTTCACAGTTGTAACGTACAAGTTTGCTTTAATTTATTTTCAAGATCTGAGGTAAAATATCTATTGTTGCTTTCACTATGGCTATAAAGATAACGCAAAATAATATTCAAATTCACATAAGACACTTTTAACATTGAATAAAGCACATAATCATTACTAGAGATTATCACTGTCATATTTTGTATGTTGTTCCTGCCGCGACGTCAGAAAATAAAAACCGTTCCTAAAATAGAATCCCATATCGCTTATCGTCACGTGTCGCTGGTGGTTAGGACAAAAACGACAAGGAAAAGATACTTTTTATCGCGTCGTGTCTGGTTGGGACACACGGAGTTACAGTTTGATCCCCCCCAAAAAAATCTAAGTCTAAAAATATTAATACTGACAAATCTAATAATTGAATCTGCAATTAGGGAAAGTGGAGAGAAGAGATGCAGTCTGGGAATGAGCAGGAACAGTTGATTTGCATGGCAGACATGGAGATCCAGACTTTTTGTTTGTTCATTTGTTTTTAATATTCAACAGGCAAAGTTCTTCTGTATCTAAATGCAAAAATTTTAATAATTTTTTGAATAAAACATACTGGGGAAAAATCTGAATATTTATCTTGTGACCCAATATAACCAATAATATAATAATTGTAATAATAACAATTATAGATAGATAGATGTCAGTGGCCCTTGGCTGGGTATTGTTGGCAGAATTCGGCCCTCGGCGAAAACACATTGAGGAACTCTGATGTACAGTATGTGGAAAATAATGTGTTTTTTGAACCTTAAACCGCCTAAACACATTTCATTACACCAAATACACAAAATACTGTTCTTTTTAGCAACATCATATGACCCCTATAAGGAACTTTTTCCCTGTATTGTAAACACATTAAAGGGAACAAACGATCCATGGAAAGAATAACGCAGCTTTTGCTCCAAGTAGCTCACCTGAGAGACACCATGTTGCCAAGTTCTGCTGGCAGGCTCCTGACCTTATTGGATGAAAGGTTCAAGAACACAAGGTTGTGCAGCTTGGCAATTTCAGGTGGAATGCGTGACAGGGAGTTGTCACTGAGATGCAGAGCAGTGAGGTGAGTGAGCGACCAAAGGCCCGAGCTGAGACTCCGAACATTACCTGAGACATCAACAAACATTAATAAAAATATCTCTTTTGTTAATATGTTTCACTTCATTGCAGAAGTGATCTGAAGTTGAGATTTCTATCAGAGGGTTTACTTTGAGACATACCAATTATTTCAAGCCCATCCCAGATGGATTTTTTCCCACTGTTTGCCTCCTCACTGGACATGATAGTGTACATCTGCCTGAAATCAGGTGGGTCATATTTCTCTGTGGGCATCCCTAGACCACTGTAAGGGACAAATACTTAATCAGATTTATATAACGAGACAAAAATATTTGCATGACATGATTCAGACATCTCAAAGCCTGTTTACAATCCAAACAAGAACACAATTTACACCCGTTTATTTTCTGAGTATAATATGCAAAAAGTGCATATGCGAATACTAGGACTATATAGCATATAGTCTATATATGCCGGATGTTGTGTAAAAATTGTTGCTGCTGTTTTGCAAGCAATCAAAAACTATCAATCTATGAATCATTCTAATATGCTGATTTTGTCTAAAGACATTTCTTATTATTATCAACTTTGAAAACTGTTTTTGCAGCTAAATATTTTAGTGAGACCACAGATACATAACCATGTAAAACATAAAAATGTTTTCCCAAATGTCTTACTTTATATAACAAGCATATAATTAAAAGTAAAAAATAAACAGGCAGATAAATGACCTTGCTAACTGGAACTGTCAAAACAAACGTAACTTGACAACTACTAACGTTAACTCTTTTCAAGACCTAAACACACCCGTTACACACACACTACAACGCTAATTAGACTAGAAACAAGTCTAATAATATTTAATTATCCTATTTATACGATGTTGTGCATGTCAAAGGAAACAAAGTAGAAATGCAACAAAGCACGCAAGCTAATAAACAACTAGCTCTGTGCTATGCTAATGACCCAATTAAACTCATCAATACTTAAAACGCGTCCTCCACAAAGTGACATAACATGAAATATCATGTTAATCATACACATGTAAAAGTAATAAGCATCCACTGCGTCTGTTTACTGAAGAAGTAACCCAAATCAAGTTAACCTGACATGCTATCAACATTAGCCACAGGCTGCTAAAGGTGCAGCCTTCTAAAATATTTATATCTCAATTAACACTTTTATATGTGTTCAATAAAATATTTAGGAAATACGGTGCACATGTTTTAAAAAATAACAATTTTATATAATATTCTCTGCATATGAACAAAGAGAGGCTAACTAGTGTAGCTATAGCTAACTTGGAAACAACCCCAAACGGGGACTCATGTCAGCAGGAAATCTTTAGAATATTTCAGAATTACCTTCAATAGCATAACAACTCCTGAAGTCAGCTGTGTGTCTCACTTCGGCGTTAATTCATTCGTTCGTGTCGGCTGTGCAGCTACGGGAAGCAGCGGCAGCGCAGCATCATGGCGGAAGGTTTTTGTGCAGCTGTTGTGCTGCTCTCCAAAACAAGGGTCCATGTGCCCATGTCGAGCTGTCTGTTCCAGTCTCAAACCCTAGAGAGCTGTCTACACAGAACGCATCTGTGGTGCTCAGAAATGTTGTCTTGGTATGCAGCTCGTTCGAATTTGAGACGCAGTCTTCTTCTACCATTTCATTCTTAATGTTGTCTATAAGTTTTGGATGGAACATGTTCTGGATGTGTATGTTATTGATGTAGATAATTTGCAGTGAATGAGCAGGGGGGGGGAGTCTTCATTTACTTACTGTTAAGGGATGAAAAAATTATGATTTGGGTACTCCGTCTTTGGGTGAACTAAACTTTTTTTGCACACAAAACAATATAAAGCTTTTTTAATTATTTTATTATTTAAGTCTAAACAGAGGAGGACAAAGTACTCAACTCCATTACTTTAGTGAAAGTACAGATACTGCTTGTCAAATATTACTACATTACAAGTAAAAGTTGTAAAGACTTTTTTCTTAAGTAAAAGTACAGAAATACTTAGGTACCAAAAGTAAATTTCCCTTTTTTTATGTCAATGCACTGTTTTATTGTTGTACGTAATACTTGCAATACTTCTGAAGCAACTTAGAATACATTACACCTGCTGAATACACTGACTAGCTTGTAGTATCTTTGGAATAAAGAGCTTTTAGAATGTTAAAAACCTTTGGGGAAAAAAAATGAACACCCCTACCCACCCCCACAAAAGCAGTATGGTAGTGATCTCACACAGCTCTGACAGTGTGTGCACACATCTATGTGTAGCCATTCATCCACATTTGAACAGAGTGGACAGTGAAATCCTGTAAATACGTGTGATAAGAAAGAAAAAAAATCAAACCTGCTTTAAAACCCAGCAACACAACTGTAGCTGTACAACTTTACAGCAGCAACACTGCTTTAACAAAAAAAACAAAACAGCAAGACATTATTTGACATCAAAACGAAAATGTAAAAAATGCTGTCTAATCACTCTCACGGTACTTTGATGCCACAGAACAGTCTGTGCAGTGCTGCTTCAAGTCCAACACCTTTTGTGTTTTATTAGGAGAAACACACCAGTTCTTCTGTGGCTTTATAGGTAATATTTTCACGTACACAATTTAGCAAAATCTGAAAATATTGTGTCTAATATATACCGCAATATTAACTTCTTATTATTGAATTGTTGTAAATAAATATCACATTTGCAACTGGTCAGTGTTCAAAAAATGCTGGGAAATCACTTAATGTAGCCCCAAGAGTGATTACTGATAAACTGTCTGAAAAAAAGAAAGTCAAGTTTTAGAGAGCAACACAACTGTAGCTGTACAACTTTACAGCAGCAACACTGCTTTAACAAAAAAAAACAAAACAGCAAGACATTATTTGACATCAAAACGAAAATGTAAAAAATGCTGTCTAATCACTCTCGCGGTACTTTGATGCCACAGAACAGTCTGTGCAGTGCTGCTTCAAGTCCAACACCTTTTGTGTTTTATTAGGAGAAACACACCAGTTCTTCTGTGGCTTTTTATTTCACGTACACAATTTAGCAAAATCAGACAATATTGTGTCTAATACATACCATAATATTAACTTCTTATTATTGAATTGTTGTAAATAAATATCACATTTGCAACTGGTCAGTGTTCAAAAAATGCTGGGAAATCACTTAATGTAGCCCCAAGAGTGATTACTGATAAACTGTCTGAAAAAACTAGTTCTAGAGAAGAAACAAATCAGCCACTGACTTTCAAAGCTGCTACATAGTAACGACTTTCTACTTCGAGGACCTTGATAGAAATGTAGTGGAGTGAAAAGTACAATATTTGTCTTTCAAATGTAGTGAAGTTAAAGTCATAAGTTTCCAGAAAAAATAATACTCAAGTAAAGTACAGATACTCAAAAAGTGTACTTAAGTACAATACTCAAGTAAATGTACTTAGTTACTGTCCGCCTCCGAGTCTAAACATAAATGAAATTCCACACAACTTATTGAAAATCATATAAGCAGGTGCACAGGAATAAATAACAGCAAAATAGTCTTAACAAAAATAAATACCACACACTGCTATAGCTTGCAAACCATTTTAATGCAACATTTGAAATAATTTTCTGATGAAGGTTGCATCATGCATGACCAAAATGTTGCATCAAAATATAAATTGCTGGCTATAGCAGTGTGCGGAATTCATCTGTTTTTGTTAGACTATTATTTTATGTCTGCGACTGAAATGTAAAATAATAATAGTAATAATAATATAAAAATACATTTATTTAAAAAAGTTATTATTAAAGGTTTAATGATGTCAGTTATATATTGCTGTAGATGAGATGGATTTCATTGGGGAGAGCGTAATAATAATAATATTTGTTCTTGGTCGGTTTGCATAGTAAACAAACACACAAATTGTATAAAAAAATAATTTATTAAAAAAATATTTTTTATAAAAGTTTACATTTTATAAAGTTATTATAAAATGTTTAATGACTTGTAGTAATGCTGGACATGTCAGTTATGTGTTCTTGTAGTTGGGATAATAAATCCTGCATTTCCATGGAGAGAGCATGGCCGATATCGTTGGCTGCACGTGACAGGAAGGTGTCCACTGCCTCTTGCACATCTGAGCATTTCACTTGATCATCCAATGTCCAAATAGGAGCATGCCTCCTATCAAAACGCTTTGTGATGGGGAAGTGTAGATGACCTGGGGAACAGAGTTTGAAAGTAAGGTAAATTAAAAAACTACAATGGTGACTATATTTGATCACTTAAAATGTCTTATTTATTAGCTGAAAAAGCGATGTTAGCACTGGTTTGTTTACCGGTCACAACTTCTTCATAACTGAGAATCAGCATCCACAGAAGCTGAAGGAGTTCATCCCATTTTCTCCACTTCTCTGCTCCATCCTGGCACACCATGCAGGGAAAGCATGCGAGTTCAGCTGTTATGTAGAATAACAATGCAAAATGCTAATTTGTAATATAATAGTGCAATGATCTTTTACAGAGGGGTCTGAGGCCAGTGTGGAGCTCTTGATGTAGTGTAGCAGCAAGTTTAGAGACATGGGCAAGCATGTCTTCTGAGAACAAGTCTCATCCAACAGCAGCTTCAACAACTTGCATCTCAGCAGCTTGCTATCCAGAGTCCTCAGCAACAAGAGTCTAGCACACACAATGAGAAAGTACATAAATGTACTGTTATAATACAAAGAGCAGCAAAAACTCTTCATTTAGAGAATATTCAGTAAAGGTCAAATGATTGCAATATGTAAAATAGTGCAAGGACTGATTAGATATGGGGTTTTTATTTTTTACCTTAGCTGCCTGCTAGAATGCATTCTGTTAAGACAACTGAAGAGTTCTTCTGAGAGTTTGTCTGAACTGTAGTTGGGGTTCTTGTCCACCTCCAAGGCCAATGTTAACATCCTCTGAAGAGATAACACAATCCTGTAACAAATAAAGTAAATGTATCTATTTAGCTAAGAAAGAAAGGACAATCCAAACTGTTTTTTACAGACTGTTGTTGCACGGCAAAAATATATCACTGTTAGAAATGTAATGTTATATTACCATTCAATGTTTGGGGTCGGTAAGATTTTTTTCCATCAAGGCTGCATTTATTTGATCAAAAATACAGTAAAAACAGGAAGAGTAAAATATTATTACTTTCTTTTTCTATTTTAATATACTTTAAAATGTAATTTATTCCTGCGATGGCAAAGCTAATATGCTGATGAAACATTTCTAATATATTATCAATCATGAAAGTAGTTTTGCTGCTTAAAGTTTGCGTTCAGTGGATACTCTCCAAAATGGCGCTACGGTGACGCGGAAGAGACAAATTGTTGAATAAAGTCGTTATTTTTGTTTTCTTTGCGTACAAAAAGTATTCTCGTCGCTTCATAAAATTCATATTGAACCACTGATGGCAGATGAACTATTTTTACGATGTCTTTCATACTTTTCTGGACCTTGACAGTGTAATTTACTTGGCAGTCAATGGGACATCACAAGCCTCCCGGTTTTCATCCAAAATACCTTAAATTGTGTTCCAAAGGCGAACAAAGCTTTTACGGTGTTGGAACGACACGGGGGTAAGTGATTAACGACAACATTTTCATTTTGGGGTGGAGTAACCCTTTAATTAAAAAAATATATATAATCTTACTGACCCCAAACTTTTGAACGGTAGTGTATAATGATAACAAAAATGATCACTTCATATACTTAAGATAGTTGTCCTCATTCTTTGGATATTCCACATCTTTTGAGTGGTTCACTGACTCCTTAGCAGCATTCATCATCCAAACTATTATATCCCTAAGAACAAGAATCACAAAGGATTATGCCAAGCCAAAACCAATTGCAAATTAGGGACTTAAATTAAAACGGCTCCAACAATAGAGAATATAACTCACTTGACTTGCCCAAATGTTTCATTGCCACATGAAAGCATCTTCTTTGCAACAGAGTGATGAAGACACTGAGACCTGCGTTTAAAATGAAAATCATCTTCTAAAACCTGCAACACATATTGCAGGAACATGTACTGGACCTCTGTCCGCAACCTCCTAGCGTCATCCTTAAGACAGGAATAATGAAGCACAGAATGTTGAAGAAATAAAAGCATTACTTAATAATATTTTTAACATTACTTAAAGCTATTTTTTTAAAGTGCTAAATGTATATACCTGTTCTGTCATAACTGACTTCATCAGTTCCCAATCGCATGGGACTGTAGAAGCATCCACAGGATGGTATCTTAACATATAAAACAAACAACTTATAAAATAAACATGAATAGTACGTTTTACACATCATTTTTGGAGGAGTTGGGCATCATCTCTGGTTTACACTTGACTTTTTCATGTAAACTTAAATTGTTCATACTCCCATAACTGTTTTAAACCAAGTAGTTGCAGCTGTGATCACACTCACCTCTGAGTCTTCATCAATAGGTTATAGGCCTCTATGACTAAAACATCAGGGCTTTGTGGGTTTAAGAAAATCCCCCTGAGCAGGTGTATCGTAATAT